TCTGTATACCAAACCCTTGAATTTATTATTTCAGTTGAACTGCACCATTTACTGCTGAAATTACAATAGACATATTACAGAATGGAAAACCAAGAAAGGCTAAGCAACTTGCCCAAGGTTACACAGATAACAAGTAGCAAGGCCAGCATTTCACCCTAGGTGATTCTAACTCCAGAGGCCATCTTCTTTTCACTAAATGATGCCACTTCCCTGTCTATTAGACTGTTGCTACTCTGGTAGCATAGTGATAGTGCCTAAGGCACTTGACTGCTAACCAGAAGGCTGGCGGTTCAAATCCACCAGCCACTCCTCGGAAGGAAGGTTGGGCAATCTACCTCCATAGTGATATCGCCTCGGAAACCCAAGGAGGGGTTGCTGTGAGTCAGGTCTGACTCGACAGCACATAACAACAACATTCCAGTTACGGTCAGCCACCAATGACTAAATCTGCACTTCAGAAATCATCCCTTCTAAGGAGCATTCTGGCTGAACTTCTCTCAAGACCATTTTGTTCATCCTTTTAGCACCCCAGCATATATTCAATATTCTGCACTAACACCATAATTCAAATGCATCAACTCTTCTTTGTTCTTTCTCATTAATTGTCCAGATTTCACATGCACATGAAACGACCAAAACTACCATGGCTTGGGCCAGGCATACCCCAGTGCTCAAAGTGACATCTTTATTTTTTAACACTTTAAAGAGGACTTCTGTAGATGTGTCCAATGCAATATGTTGTTAGATTTTCTTGACTGCTGCTTCCATGGCTGTTGATGGTGGATCCAAGTATAACGAAAGACTTATAACAGTTCTCTCAGAGAGACTGAGAAACCACCCTGAAGATGTTACCACTCCAAAGATGGAATAATTTGAGAATGAATAAAGCAACCAACTGAAATATACCAAATGTTTAACCTATGATTTCATAATGACACTACCAAAAGTAAAAAAGATCATTGTTAGGAAATCAACACATTATTCTACTATTTAGCAACTAAAGAGAAACAATCAACAATATATTCTAACTATATTCCTATATAAACCATATACTTGGATAGCTGAAGTTTTCTTTTAAAACTATTTCAGCTGATAAGTGAATCCAGTCTTGAACATCAACAGCTAATATTACAAAAAGAGATACTATAAACCAAAAAAAAGGAAAAAGGAAAAAAAAAAAAAAAAAACTTACCGCCATCAAGTCAATTCTGACTCATAGCAACCCCTCCTTGGGTTTCCAAGGCAGTATCACTACAGAAGTAGAATGCCCAATCTTTCTTCCAAGGAGTGGCTGGTGGATTTGAACTGCCAGCCTTCTGGGAAGCAGTCATATGCCTTAGGCACTACCCCACCAGAGCTCCCTAAGAGAAACTATGGGACTCTTAGACACTAAGTAGTAGATTTCCCCACTCAACTGGGAAAACCTGTAACTGATCAAATCTCCAGACATAACCACCAATTTACAAGAAGAGAAAGGAACATGTTGAATGGCACCACAGGGATGCAACCAGCAAATTCAGGATTCTTAAAAAAACTCTATGAAATGACCTATTTCTTCAACAAATAAATTGCAGAGAGAAAAAAAAAAGGATGGAGAATAATCTATAGACTGTGACCAAAGAGATATAACTGACAATTATAATGCATGAACCTTATTAGAAATCAGATGCAAATAAGTAGACTATATATATATTAAATTAAATACAATAAATTATATAAAACATTCAACTCAAAATGAGAAAAAAAATAGCAGCAGAATTCCATTAATAATCAGAACATGGAATATATGATGTAGGCATCAAGGAAAACTGAAGTTGTCAAAATGAAATAGAACACTTGAAGATGAATATCCTAGGCATTAGTGAGCTGAAATGCACTGCTACTGGCCATTCTGAATCAGCCAATCATATGGTCTACTACGTAGGGAGTAACATCACATTCATTATCAAAAAGATTATTTCTAAGCTCTATCTGTCAGTGATAGGATACTATCCGTACGTCTACAAGGAAAACTAGTTAACATGACTATTGTTCAACTTTAGGCACCAACCACAAATGCCAAAGATGAAGAAATTGAAGATTTTTACTAACTTCTACGGTCTGAAATTGATCAACCACTCAATCAAGAGGCATTGATAATCACTGCTAATAGGAACGTGAAAGTTGGAAACAAAGAAGAATCCGTAGTTGGAATAAAATATGCCTTCATGATAGAAACAAGGCTGGAGATCGTATGACAGAATTTTTAAGGCCAATAACTTATTCATTGGAAATATCATTTTTCAACAACATAAATGGCAACGATACATGTAGACACAGCCAGACGTAATATACAGATATCTAAAAGACTGTGTTTGTGAAAAGAGATGAATGAGATGCTCAACATTATCAGTGAGAACTAGGCCTGAGGCCAACAGTGGAACAGACTCAATTGCTCATATGCAAGTTTAAGTTGAAGATGAAGAAAATGAAAAGTCCAAAAGAGCCAGTGAGTATATCCCACTTCAATTCAGAGACCACCTCAAGAATATATTTGACGTGTTCAACACTAATGGCTGAAGACCAGATGAGCTGTGAGATAACATCCAGGGCATCATACATGAAGGAGGCAAAAGGACATTAAAAGGACAGAAAAGAAAAATTGTTGTCAGACAAGACTCTGAAACTGTTCTTGATCAGAGTAGCTACAGTGAATGGAACAAGGATAAAGTAAGAGGGCTGAGCTAAAGATATCAAAGGGCAGCTCAAGAAGACAAAGTAAATCATTATAATGAAATGTACAAATGCTGGAGTTAGAAAAACCAAAAGGCAAGAACACAGTGGGCATTTCTCAAGCTAAAGAACTCAGGAAAAAGTTCAAGCCTTGGGCTGCAGCACTGAAGGATTCTATGGGCAAAACATGGATGACATAAGAAGCATCAAAAGAAGACAGAAGTAATACAGAGTCACTGTATCAAAAACAACTGGTAGGTGTTCAACCATTTGAGGAGGTAGCACTGAAGGTACTAGAGGTGAAAAATAAAGCTCCAGGAATTGACAGAATACCAATTAAGATGTTTCAACAAATGATGTAACGCTGGAAGCAAGTTACCTGACAAACTGACTGGAAGAAATCTGTATTTGTGCCCATTCCAAAGAAAAGTGACCCAAGAGAATGTGGAAATTATTGAACAGTATCATTCATATCACACATAATTAAAATTTGGCTGAAGATCATTCAAAACCAGTTGCAGCAGTACACTGACAGAGAACTGCAAGAAATTCAAGCTGGATTCAGAAGAGGATGTGGAACGAGGGCTATCATTGCTAATGTCAGATGGATCTTGGTTGAAAGCACAGAATACAAGAAAGATGTTTCTGTCTTTTATTACTATGTAAAGGCATTCAACTGTATGGATTATAACAAATTATGGGTAACATTGTAAAGAATGGGAATTCTAGAACACTTAATTGTGCTCTTGTGAAACCTGCACACAGACTAAGAGTCAGTCGTTCCAACAGAGAGGATACTGCCTTGGCTTAAAATCAGGAAAGGGGTGCATCAGGGCTGTACTTTTCACCATACTTATTCAATCTGGAACAAATCATCCAAGAATCCAGACTATATGAAGAATGCAGCATCAGGATTGGAGGGATTAACCTGTGATATGCAGATGACACAACTTTGCTTCCTGAAAGTGAAGAGGACCAGAGGCATTTACTGATGAAGAACAAGGACTAGAGGCTCATGTATGGATTACACCTCAACATAATAAAAATAAAAATCATCACACCTGGACCAATAAAAAACATCATTATAAATGCAGAGAAGACTGAAGTTGTCAAGGATTTCATTTTATGTAGATCCATAATCAATGCCCGTGGAAGCAGCCGTCAAGAAATCAAACAGCGTATTAAATTGCATTGAGGAATCTGCTGCAAAAGACCTCTTGAAAGTATTAAAAAGCAAGTATGTCATTTTGAGGACTAAGGTTTGCCTGATGCAAGGCAAGGTACTTGCAATCATCTCATATGCACATGAAAGCTGGACAATGAGTAAGGAAGACTGAAGAAGACTTGATGGCTTTGAATTACGGTATCTGTGAAGAATACTAAACATACCATAAACTGTCAAAAGAATGAATACACCTCTGTTGTCAGAAGTATAGCCAGAACGGTCAAAGCAAGGATGGCAAGACTTCGTCTCACTTTAGGACATGTTATCAGGAAGGACCAGTCTCTGGAGTAGGACATCATGCTTGGTAAAGCAGAGGGTCACAAAAGAGGAAGACTCTCCACAAGAAGGCATGACCAGAAGCTGTAACAATGGGCTTAAACACAGCAATGATTGTGGTGATGGCATAGGACTGGGAAGTGGTTTTCTCTGTTGCACAAAGAGTTGCTACAACTCAGAATCAACTTGACAGCACCTAACAACATACATATATATAAATATATAAATTTGAGACACATGACTGATGAAGTATGAATAGTTACTAATGATGAAGTATTGTTACTATTTTTAGGGAGTGATAATGTTATTGCGGTCATGTTTAAAAAGAGTATCTTTCTGTTTTTCAGATACAAATAAAATATTTAAGGATGGACTAATATTATTTCTGAAATTTATTTAAAACTAATTGTGTAGGGAAGGGTTAGGTGGAATTATGGACGAATGAGACTACTTATGAGTGATGAGCCTACTAAGGTTATATTATACAGATACCTTTGAATATTTACATTTCTCATAAAGAAAAGAGCAAAAAACATAAAGTCTCCATTTTTTCCATGGAAAGAGGTTATGTCAATACCTGACATTTACTTTAACTCTTCTGTGATTAAAAAGCAAAGGATCACATGGTTCCGTTCTATACATCATGATTATAGGTAACCAAACATTCTTAATAGTATATGCTTACTGATACTTAGATTTAATCAAGAATAAGTGTTTCTAAACCTTAGGAAAAGAAAGGAGGAGTATTTTTTGGTGCTGTTCTAGTTGTTGAAAAAAAATCACTTACCTGCATGACTGTTGAAATGTGCAAAGTTAGCAAAATTGGCTGTAGCTGTTGACTGAGGAGCTGGGGCAGCAAAGATGTCGGAGCCAAGATCACTCAAAAGGTCAAACTGCTTCTTCTCCTGTTGCTGGACCTGAGCGCGACCTACAACAGGGGACTGTAAACAATACATGAGCTGTAACGAGTTCCCAGTCAGTTCTGCTGAAGTTTGATAGGAAACTATTTCCAATTCACTCACTAAGCACAAACACATTTTAAAGATCACATAATCTTCTACCTATAGTTTTAAGCACTGTGATATGCTTTTGAAAAACACTTCTTCACCTTCTACTCCAAAGGCATCTCTCAATTTTAAATACAAAGTCAGAGCAAAGAAATATAATTCTAATCATTATTAAAACTTATGCCACAAGATAACTACTGCCAAGACAGTACTATAATAAGGCGTTCATAGCATGTCTGTTATATACAGGGAAAGTTACAGTGCATTGACTTAATTCCTTTCTGGCATTCTTTCACTTAAATCTTTCATGGAAACAAAGTGACTTTATAATATAAATGCTTTACAAAGTACTATTTAAAAGGTGGAGTTTGATCCAAATTGTACTATACTTCAGGAACATTATTATGTAGGACCGAGGTTGAAATGTTAACACAGTGACAGATGTGTTACAGCTCAGTCAACGATAATGAAGTGCAACAGTACACCAGCTTTACGCACCAATTTATTTCAAGACTTCAATCTACTCAGTTTTTCAGAATAATACAGTGAAATTACCTGTGTTTCACTGATAAAGATGCTTGACAACTAAACACGTGGGGAAAATCTGTGGCTTGAGAAATTCCTTTCTGTCAAACTACAACATGAAGGCTATCCTGTTCTAGCGCTGATAGTCACCACAGATTCTCGTTTCACTAAACGTACGGTATGCTACATAGTAGATAACTACAGCCACAGTCTTGTATACCTTTACAGAGCTGTGGAGAATCTAAGAAACTCTTATACATAGAAAATGATTAAAAGAACAAAAAAAACACACATTTCAACCACTTAACCAATACTCTTTGTACTTAATGTACTGCAAGTCATTAGAACATAATGCTACTGGCACACAAGGCTATGCTACTGTCTTAAAAGAGCTCTCAAATTCCTAATACTCAATTTTCTTTAGGCAGCAGGCCCTCCAAACATTTGGAGACTACTCACCTGACTAGGTGTGCCCTTATTTAAGTGCAGTGCCGGTGCCGACTCTCCTAGCAGAGATTTCAGAGGTTTGACCTCAGGTGTGCTGCTTGTGCTACTGGCAGAGGACCCTGAAATAGATGCATGAACTGATGCCACTACTTTGGCTTGTTCTGGTGGAACATACCTACAACGGTGAAAACAAGAACAGGCAGTTAGCTAGGAAAAACATTAGGGATCCTATACTCAAAAATGGTAAGCTTAGTTCTAATTTTGTACAAGACTGTTTTGACATTATTCTCATTTAAAAACTCCTAATTATGATGGCATAGATTGCACTTAACTGAAATATTCAAAGATAGAGCAATAAAGGCTAGCCACAAAACTTGCTTCAATTACTTACAATTTTTTCCTAATGTAATAAACATAATAAATGATTTTTTTAACAACTGAGGAAATAGTTCAGTCATCATGATAAATAGCATTCATTGTACTTTAATTTTTAAAACTAAAATATCTGAAGATCACGAATAACATCTGGAGAGAAAGCATGTATTCCACTATAATTATTATATATTATATTTAATAACCTTAAGATCAAGGTATATTACAAGTCTATAAAAATATGACCAACAACCCAATTTTAAAATGGACAGAAGCAATTCACAAAAGGAGACATATAAAGGACAAATAAACATACAAAAACACTGGCAACCAAACAAAAATGAATATTAAAAATATCATTCACTTTTGATCTGAGTGTAAACTAAATAAATTTCTGTAACTATCCATTGAAACATATAAATAGGTATACTCTGCCCAGCAATACCACTTCCAGAATGTCTCCTTGAAAGAAATAATTGAATAAGTGGGTTTCTGTTAGTGCTGCTGGGTCAGCTCCAACTCACGGCTGCCTTAAGCATAACAGAAGGAAACACGCCTAGGTCCTGTCCCACCTTCATGATTACTGGTACACGGAAGTCACATACCACGGCTTCTGTGTCAATCCACCTCATTAAAGGGTTCCCTCAATTTCATTAACTCTTTTCTTTATCACCCAAGAGGTCCTTTTCTAGTGATGGGTCTTTCCTGATGACATACACAGACGCATATATAGATACTTAGCACAGTACTCTTTATAATTTTTAAAAAAAACTTGGAAATAGACCAAATATTCACCAGGACAGGACTATTTAAAGGAATTTTGTAATTAAGTACCACAGAACCACTCTGTGTGCTGACACTGAGAAATATTCAGAAGATTTTATACATCTTTCAAGTTTGATCCCACAGTCATGAAAATAATGATTCATGAGAAGAAGGGAGTAAAGGAAGGGAAAAGCAATAATAAAAATTGTTGTTGTTGTTGTTATTTGCTGTCGAGTCATATGATGCCCAAATATTGACAATGCTGACCTCTGTTGTTGTTGTTATTTGTCCTTGAGTCGGACCCGACTCATAGCGACCCCTCCTTGGGTTTTCGAGGCAGTATCACTATGGAAGTAGATTGCCCAACCTTTCTTCCTTAGGCACTATGCTACCAGAGCTCCTTGCTGACCTCTAGAGGTGAGATTATGTGAACATTTTAACTCTGTATTTCTGGGGTTTGTTCTCCCCTCCTCCCTCTCCCTGTCCCCACAGCCAAGCAGGGGAAGGAGGAAAACAGAGCAGGTTAAAAATATGGATTCCAGACCCAGAAAGCCTAAGTTCAAATCCCAGATGCACCATTTACTGCCTGTGACACCTCGGACAAACGACTTCTCACTGTGCCTCAGTTTCTTCATCTATAAAATGAAGACAGAGCTGCTGTGAGGTTTACAAGAGTTAATACCGGTAAAGCACTTAGAAAGCTCCCAGCAAATGGTAGGTGTGAGCTATTATCATCATCAAATGATAGCGTATCAAACAACAAAACTGCTCTTTGTGGTAAATGTGAGAGAAGGATTGGACATGAGAAAGAATACAGAAGTTATGCTTGCCCCCAGTTCACCACACAGCCAAATCTTATCAAAGGCTAAAACCAGACAACACAGGCACACCTTGTTTTATTATGCTTGGCAGACACTGCATTGTCTACAAATTGAAGGTTTGTGGCAACCTTGCATCAGCAAGTCTACTGGGGTCAATTTTCCAACAGCACATGCTCACTTCCTATCTCTGCGTCACATTTTGGTAATCTCACAATATTTCAAATGATTTCATATTTCTATAGCACATTTAGCAGAATACAGTAAAGTGCAAACCTAACTTTTATATGCACTGGGAAACCAAAACATTCGTGTGACTCACTTTATTGCAATATTTGCTTTACTGTGGTCTAGAACTGAACCACCAATGTCTCCAAGATCTGCCTGTACTTTTGGTTCAAAAATCTCAACTGACGTAAAGAAGCTAATCTTGCACAGTAAGTCCCTGGGTTATGAATGTTCGACTTATGGATAAGTCTTATGTGCCCTTTAACGTTATGGAAATTTGCCTTCATTTTAAAAGGACTGAACCAACCCCTCTACTCATAAGAAATTCTTCATCACAATCACCTTCACTTGACGTACAAGCAGCTTTTAAATCATTAAAGGAGCTCTGCTGCTTTTCTTGCACTAACCAAAATCTAACACCTTTGAGTGGATTTCAACTAATAGCGACCCCATAGGACAGAGGAGAACTGCCCAATAGGGTTTCCAAGACTGTAAATCTTTACAGAAGCAGACTACCCACACTTGTCTCCCATGGAGCAGCTGGTGGGTTCAAATGGCAAACCTTTTGGTTAGCAGCCAGGTGCTTTAACCACTGCACCACCCAGGCTTCATTCTTTCACTAAAGTAAGGCTAAAGAAGAACTGTATATACTTGTTCCAACTTACCTACAAATGTGACTTAAAGACACACTTAGGAAGGAATGTCACTCGTAACCAGGAACTGCTGGTAAACATAGAAAGTGATTTTGAAAACTGTTCAAAAGGACTATTTCAAAGTCACTTTGATGAAAGTGGCATCTCTGCTGTCACTGTCTTTCTTACAGTGAGTATTTTTAGGGAGACTGCATTTGGAGAGCACTTATTACCATGTTAAAATTCGTTTCACTCTCTTGTTACATATGTCACAAGTGTGAAGACACTGGGTTAAAAATAATGGGCCCTGGCTGGCTAACTATCTTTCTCTACCCACCACTTAAACTTTGTACTTATTACTGTTACTTTCCTGTTTCTCAGAAAAATAAAACAAAACAAAAAACCCAGAAATTACAATTAGTTAAGGTTTTCAGTTATTTGAATTATGGTTTAACAAATAATACTAATATATTATTATAATAAACATAGAGGTAGCTGGAGATCCAAGGTTTTAACTTTTATCAATTCTTATTCACACTTTTCTCTGTTTAACTTATGCTAAACTATCAAAATCCCAGCTAATTTCTGAGTTGGTCAAAGTAGACCACTAAAAAATCAAAAAGCTTATTGTGTTGTTGTTGTTATGTGCCGTCGAATCGGCACCAACTCATAGCGACCCCTCCTTGGGTTTCCGAGGCAGTATCACTACGGAAGTAGATTGCCCCATCTTCCTTCCAAGGAGTGGCTGGTGGGTTTAAACCGCCAGCCTTCTGGTTAGCAGTCAAGTGCCTTGGGCACTATACTACCAGACCTCCCAAAAGCTTACTAGGACTACACAAAAGGAAAGGTCATAATTACAGAGTAGAAGGTCTAGGAAACTAAGAACTAAAGTGATAAAGGATAATTATACCCTTCAGTTTAAGACAATCATTTAAACTACTGTATTTTTGCTATCACCTCACTTACTAATATTTTCTTCTTTCCTGAACTAAATTTCACTAGTGTGTTTTTATCTATTGTCATACCTAACGTTACCTACTCACCTACTATAGAGGAATATGCTCCTGGCTTCAAGAAGCCTAGTGGTACAATGGTTAATTGCTCAGCTGCTAATCAAAAGTTTGGCAGTTCAAACCCACCAGCTGCTCCGTAGGAGAAAGATGTGGCAGTCTGCTTCTTTAAAGGACTGCCTTGGAAACCCTATGGGGCTGTTCTACCTTATCTCATAGGGTCACTATGAGTCAGAATCCACTCAACAGCAACGGATTGGTGTTCAGGGTTTTTAATCTAGCTTCGTCCTGGGGTGTGACACGTGATTAAGCTCTGACTACTAGTCAAAAAGTTGGCAGTTTAAACCCACCCAAAGACAGCTCAGAAGACAGGCCTGGTGATCTGCTTCAGAAAGTTCTCTAGGGGAAAAAAAAAAAAACCCTTGAAAGCCCTTTGGAGCAGTTCTACTCTGTATACATGGGGTCCTCATCATGTGTCAGAAAAGACACAATGGCAACTAACGACAAAATCTTGCTTTGGAGCTTCTGAATGGTTCAAATATTTAATGTGCTTGGCTGCTAACTGAAAGGCTGGTGGTTTGACTTCACCCAGAGGTGGCTCAGAAGGCTTGATTTACTTGCAAAACTGTTGTTGTTGCTGTTGTTATGTGCCGTCGAGTCAAACCCGACTCATAGCGACCCCTCCTTGGGTTTCCGAGGCAGTATCACTATGGAAGTAGGATTGCCCAACCTTCCTTCCGAGGAGTGGCTGGTGGGTTTGAACCGCCAGATGTCTGGTTAGCAGGCAAGTGTCTTAGCCACTATGCTACCAGAGCTTGCAAAACTATAGCTACTGAAAGCCCTGTGTTGGGTTGCCTTAAGTCGGAATCTACTTGACAACAACTGATTTTGCTTTTTCTCGGTGGTGGTGGTGGGATGTAATATTGCTTTGGGAAAAGTAATCCACTCTAGGGAACAAGAATACAGAATTTGGCAGAATATACAAGTCAGAGCTACGTCTTTCAAATGTGCTGATGAAATGATACCTCACAAATAAATCAAGGGTTTCCTCAGAACTGAAACAGGCTCCTAAACATATAAAATTTGGCTCTCCAGAAAAAACAAGAGACCTTTTACTTACCCATTATCTATCCATACTTCCTATATTTGTGACTCTTCCTCATTTTCTTAATGTCCAAACAGGAAATAAATAATGTTCAATATTAATAAAGAAATAACTAAAATAGTTCAAAGTAAATGAGTTTGAGTAAAGTGCATTTAAACTGTGCTCATATAGGTGAAAATGAAGAGCCCTAAGGAGTAACAACTGTCTTGTGGAAACAGCCCCTGCCCTGCTTTACAAGGTTCACTAGGTCTATGTTCCAATCTTTAAAAATTCCTTTATAGGAATTAACATCTGATAGATTTTGTTAATCCCACTGTCAGTCAGTCAATTCCTACTTATAAGACAGAGTAGGACTGCCCCACAGGGTTTCCAAGCCTGTAAATCTTTACAGACACAGACTGCCTCATCTTTCTCCCAAAATGCAGTTGGTGGGTTCAAACTGCCAACTTTTTGGTTAGCAGACAAAGGCCTCAACCACTATACCACATAAACTCTCCCTTCTTGATAACAGAGTGAATTGTTTTCTTTGGTGGCAAGTGAGGGTATTCTGAGCAACGACTGCGTGTAATTAAGTGGATGGATCACTACACCAGAGTGTCTGATGTATAGAACATAATAAAGACTTGCAAAATGAATAAAAATTTTAAGCAGAGACGCTTTGTAGTACTAAAAATGTCTACAGGAGCTTACAAGACTAAAGAAAGATGATAACATCCCTAAGTTTTCAAAACGAGTAAGAGTCTTTTATTATGAAAAGATTGCTTCTAGGCATCAATGAGTTAACATAAAGTACAAGAAAAGGTTTTTGGAAACAAAATTCAATAAAAACCAAAGGATAATGGGTATCTATCTAGCTAATCTATTTCCTTCCTTCCTTCCTTCCTTCCATCTGTCCATCTATCCACCATTTTGGACTAATCTTACCCATGATGAAAGTGATTTGGGGAGAGTTTATCTAAATATAAACTATTCACTCACCATCTTTTCTTTTCATATTTTTCTTGCAGAAACTCTTTCACTTTTTGTGGATCCCTGAAGTCTGGAATTGCTGAAGATCTATCATCAAATAATCCTAGCCAAATCTGTTTACAGACCTTTGGAAAGAATAAAAAAAAAAAAAAATCTGTTAAATTCAACATCTTCACTTGATAAAATTTTAAAAAAATTATAATGCTTTCAGAAAGCTAACCTACTTAATACTACTGCTTTAAATAAATACACTTACTACAATAAGAATAGAAAAAAACCATAAAGGAACAAAATTTATGTTAATATGTTATAGTATGAAGGAAAATCTTAGCAACAGCATTATAAAGAACAACACCTTAAAGAGAAACAAGCAATGGAATAGGATTTGAAAGGACCTGGATTTTTTTGGTCTTGGCATGATCATAAACCGTAAGTCATGAGCAGTCATGTAACCTTTATGAACCTCAGCTCCCTCATCCATAGAACAGAGGAATTGGACCAGAATCAATTTCACAGTTCCTTACAAGTTTAAAAGCCAACCAAAAAGAGCAAAGAAAAAGCACTAGAATCGTAAGCAATCCACAATTAAAAAGAATAAATTAAAAAGCAAGCTACCAACTGGTCAAAAGCATTTACAAAACATACATACATAACCAAGAAGTCCCTGGGTGGTATAAACAGTTCAGTTAATATACTTGGCTGCTAACCAAAAGGCTGGCTGGCAGTTCGAGTCTGCTCAGTGATGCCTCAAGAGAAAGGGGCACGGCAATCTACTTTCAAAAATTCAGCCACTGAAAACCACACGGAGGACAGTTCTATTCTGACACACATGGGGTCACCATGGGTTGAAATTAACTTGACAGCAATTGATTGTGTTTTCACGTGTCTGTGTGAATGTGTATACATGCATATACATACACACACATAAAACAAAGAATCTGAATCTAGAATACACAAAGAACTTCTGCAACTCAATTACATAACAGACACCACCCCAATTTCTTTTAGAAAGGAACAAAAGATTTGAATAGTCACTTCACCAAAGAAGATACACACAAATGGCAAATAAGCGTGTAAAATGATGCTCAATATCATTACCTTTAGGGAAATGCAAATCAAAAGGACAATGAGACTCTACTACACAGACAAGCCTACAATGGCTGAAAATTTAAAAAAAAATGGCCACAATCATAGTGAGAATATAGAGCAACTGGAAAATGTAAAATGGTCCAACCACTTTAGAAACAGTTTGGCAATCTTAAAGCTAAACTATACATCAGCCATTCCACTTCTAGGTATTTACCCAAGAAAAATACAAGCACACATCCACACTCAAATACTTATGTAAATGTTCATGACAGCTTCATGGGTAATAATCCCAAAATGGAAACAACTGAAATGTCTACCCACAGGTGAATGGAGAAAATAGATAAACTAAATGTGGAATATCCTTTTTTTTTTTCCCTTGGAAACATAAAAACTGAACTAATAGTTGTTGTTGTTGTTGTTGTTTGCCGTCGAGTCGGCCCTGACTCATAGAGACCCCTCCTTGGGTTTCCAAGGCAGTATCACTACGGAAGTAGGATTGCCCAACCTTCCTTCTGAGGAGTGGCTGGTGGGTTTGAACCACCAGCCTTCTGGTGAGCAGTCAAGTGCCTTAGGCACTATGCTACCAGAGCTCCTGAACTAATAGTAAGAAATAGGAAATCACAGACATACACAAATCCATAACGAACATATTACTTTGCCCTAAAAGAAAGAAACAAAAAGTTTACAATCAGAAAAATGTCTCAACCATGTCAATGGCTTAAATCACTTAATAGAAAAAGAAATACATTATTAATATTGCCTACACCCATTCAGCTGACATCAGCACATATGGGGTACTATTTCTAGACCACCACTTCTTAGTTGATTGGGCCGGCTCTGACTCATAGCAAACCTATGTACTACAGAATGAAACACTGCCCAGACATGTGCCATCCTCACAATCTGTGGTATACCTGAGCCCATCATTGTAGCCACTGTTTGAATCCATCTCGAGTGTCTTCTCCTTTTTGGTTGACCCTCCGCTTTACCAAGCATGAGTTCCTTCTCCAGAGAATGGCCTCTTCTAACAACATAACCAAAGTAGGTGAGACAAGGTCAGGAGCATTCTGGCTACAGATCTTCCACGACAAATTTGTTTGGTTTCCTGGCAGTCCATGGTATTTTCAGTATTCTTCTCTAACACCCAACTCAAAAGCATCAACTCTTCTTCAGTCTTCCGCATTCACTGTCCAGCTTTCACATGCATATGACGCGACTGAAAATACCATGACTTGGGTTAGGCACAGCTTAGTCCTCAAAGAGACATCTTTGTTCTTCAGTACTTTAAAGAGGTCTTTTGCAGCAGATATGCTCAGTACATTATGATGCCTGACTTCTTGACCACTGCTTCCATGGGTGTTGATTGTGGACCCAAGGAAAATGAAATCTTTAACAACTTCAATCTTTTCTCCATATCATGATGCTGCTTATTAGTTCAGTTGTGAGGAATTGTGTTTTCTTTATGCCGAAGTGTAATCCATCCTGCAGACTTTAATCTTCATCTGTAAATGCTTGAAGTCATCTTCACTTTCAGCAAGGCTGCGTCGTCTGCATATCGCGAGTTGTTAATGACTCTTCCTCCAATCCTGATGCCATGTTCTTCTTCATATAATCCATCTTCTCGGATTATTTGCTCAGCATACAGACTGAGTAAGTATGGTGAAAGGATACAACCCTGATGCACACTTTTCCTGATTTTAAACCAAGCAGTATCCCCTTGCTCTGTCTGAACAACAGCCTCTTGGTCTATCTACAAGTTCCTCATGAGCACAGTAAGTGTTCTGGAATTCCCATTCTTCTCAATATTATCCATAATTTGTTATCATTCACATAGTCAAATGCTTTTGAATAGTCAATAAAACACATAGTTCTGGTATTCTTTGCTTTCAGCCAAGATCCATCTGACACTGCAATGATATCTCTTGTTCCATGTCATCTTCTGGATCTAGCTTGAATTTCATGAAGTTCCCTATCAGTATACTGCTGCAACAGTGTTTGAATTATCTTCACCAAATTTTAACTGCATACGAATGACATTATTCAATCATTTCTTAGTGACAGCATATGTAAATATAAAAACCCATGAACAATGCTTCCAGAAACAAAAACAATATCCACACACCTCATGCAAGAGAAACTGGTATTCCTGCATTTACACCTTTCCTATCAGTCCTGATTTGTGCAGGAGAAATTACCTAATTTCCCCTTTGCTCCATCTAAAACATACATGCTGGCCTAAAATATTCAATTTCCCAACTTACTTATGCAGAAGTAAACTTGCTAATCCAAATTCTCATCACACATAGACCAGGGATTAGCAAATTACACCTCCTGGGCCAATTGGTCAACAGTTTGTTTTTGTAAATACAGTTTTACTGGAACACAACCATATCCATTTGTTTACCTAGTGTCTATAGTCAATCTATATGCTGAGCAAATAATCTGAGAAGCTGGACTATATGAAGAAAAACGTGGTATCAGGATTGGAGGAAGAATCATTAACAACCTG